CTGTCTCTTCAGGATACTCCTCCACTTTGTAGGAGTGAGATGACTGGGAGGAGGAGGAGGAGGAGGACCTGGAGCGATCTCGTGTCCTCCGATGCTTCCTATAAAAAGAACCAGAAAAACAATTAAACCTCTGGTCCTGACTAATGCACGGATGAAAAGCACAAGATAACTGGAGTGGGTTTGTAATGAAGAAAACGAAGACAAGTAGCCTAAAAGCAGCAGCTCACCTCAACCTATCCACCCTGCCCACCCAGAGCTTCCTCCTATTCTTGTCATGAAAATCATGAAGGAACAAGGCAAAACCACGGGGGCCCTCAGCAGCTCAGCCTAAGACACAGCCACGAGTAAGAAAGACAAAGCTAGGCATGGTGGAGAATGCCTATAATACAGCATTCAGAAGGGTGAGAAAGGAACCTGAAGAGAAACGGGAAAGAGAGAGAGAGGGACAGAGGGAGAGTGGGAAACTATTTTTTTTTTTTTTTTTGGTTTTGGGAAACTCTTAATACTATGCAAGAGCTACAACATAATTATATTGTGCCAGAGGCTGTTAGTACTTTTATGTTATTTTTAGTTCTCACAAGAATATCAGGCCTGGAGAGATAGCTCAGCAGCATAAGCACCTGCCTGACAAGCACAAGGTCCCAAGCTTGATCCCTGGTACCACCAGGGGAAAAAAAAAAAGTCTTTGTTCAATATGATCTCCTGTGGGGGGGGGGGGGGGAGGAACGAGTGAAGACATGGGACAAAGAGGCAAATCTTTATCAGAGCATTCTTATAATGTGGGATATGATGGGATGTAAGCCCTGACCCTGATTTACCAAACCAACCATGCTCCTTCAAGAAGTTTTTAAAAATAAAACTCTGGGGGCTGGGGAGATGGCTCAGTAGAATAAGTGCTTCCTTGGCAAGCACAAGTGTCTGAGTTCAATCCCCGGTTCCGCCAAAAAATAAAATAAAACTCTCGCAGGACATAATGGTACACACGCATAATCCCAGCACTCTGCGAATGCTGAAACAGAAAGATCCCAAGTTTGAGCCTCACTTGGGTAACTTAGCAAGCTTGCTTCTCAAGAAACATTTTTCCCCCCAGTACAGGTAATTGAACTCAGGACCTGGTGCTTGTGAGGCAGGTGCTTATTCCACTGACCTATCTCCCCAGCTATTCTCCAAAAACATTATTAAAAAGTGTTGGGGGGCCAGGGAGATAGCTCAGTAGACTAATCGCTTGCCTGGCAAGCACAAGGGTCCAAGTTGAACTCCCAGGTCTGCACAAAAAAAAGAAAAGAAAGAGAAAGAGAAAGAAAAGGAAAGGAAAAGAGGGAAGGGGAAATAAAAAAGGACTAAAAATACAAACAGGAACTAAAGTATTCTAAAATAAAAACAATTTAAAAAAGTGTCGGGAACATAGCTCAGTGTGAAAGCTCTTGGTTCTATCCCCAACTAGTGTGGGGGAAAAGAAAACTCCGCAAGTACCTCAAATCTGAGTCTAGCACTGCCTTTTACTAGCTGTGAAGCTTGAGTAAGGCCTTCTTCAGTTACATAAGATAGTTTTTGTAAACTGTATGATATTATGATAACAAGAACAGTAACCTATCCATCCTTTTTTTTTCTTGCTCCAAATCACAAAACATGATTCCAAGAGACTAGTTCAAAGTCACACTCCAAGCAACAGAGAGACACAGGTTCCAGACTGAGCAGTCAGAATTAGTTATCGAGAATGAATCTCGAGACACTTATGAAGTTTTCTGCTGCTTTTCCACCTGTGGCAGTGTGAGAACATTTCCATTCACTGTTGAGGACCACCAGGTTCTTTGTCTAGAGCAGCCCCCAAACGCCTAGGGTTCCTAATGTGTAAGTAACCTGAAGATCAAAAGACAAAGTAGAACCAAACTCTGATTTCTGATGTCAGCTGATTCCTATGTGACCTTAAAATAAATCATTCTGAGCTTAGCTTGTTATCATCACATAGGCAAAACTTAGCACAAATGGCTGTTGGAAAATGGGTTTAAAAAAGCTTGCCAGGGGCTGGGGAGATGGCTCAGTGGAACACGTGCTTCCCTGGCAAGTGCAAGGGTTTGAGTTCAATTCTTGGTTCCGGAAAAAAGGTTAAGGTGGTAAATTTTAGGGGGCCAGGGAGATAGCTCAGTGGAATAAGCACTTGCCTGGCAAGCTCAAGGACCTGAGTTCAATCCCCGGTTCCAGGGGAAAAAAAAGAGAAAAAATGTTGCTTTTTATGGGGAGCTGTAGGGTTATAACACTGAACCTTAAGTAGTACGAGTCTGTCAGTGGTTGACCATTTGCCTGGCATGCTTGAGACCCTGGGTTCGGCAAAAAGTAAAAAGGAATGTCAGGACCTTGACATGAATGTTACCCTACAAAGTTCAACAATGCAACTTCATTTAAAAACGCCAACTTTAAGAAGTCTCTCCAACACCTTTCTCAGAACTGCTTTCAACATCAATGTAAAAGGCATTACAACCTACAGTCTTGTCCTAGCTACTTGCATCCTGAGTCTCTGACTAGCTTTATCACTTGACAATGACCATTTCTAACATAAAACCACCTCATAAAGATGCATAATGAGAAGGTCCAAAGCAACTGCCAAAGGAATTCTTCACATCACCTCTATAAGCAGATTCACAAATAAATCCCCCCGCCCGAAATCTTTGGACAAGGATCACTTAACTTTGATGTAGATGTTCTATTTTCAAGGCAGGGACCCTCCCTGACAATTACATGGTATGAAAGAAAAAACTACAGAAATTGCTAGAACTCCTAATCCCAAAGTCCTCTGGCATCAAAAGTCTGGTATGTAAACAGTCCAAAATAGCAGACAAAAGACTTTACATGAGTTTAAAAGGGTAAAAGGGACTTCACGTACTTCTGCTTCTTTGATCCTTTATGTGTTTTCTCTGTTTTCTCAGTTGACCTTTCCCTTGAATGGCTTGAGTCTCGGGAATCCACTGATTCTCTTGATTTACCTCGTTTAAGATCTCTCTCCTTATGTTTTTTACGACGTTCAATATCAAGACGAAGGTCAACAGGATCATCTTTGTATTTTCCCTCAGCCTGCCAAAAAAGTCAAAATTAAGGTTTTGGGGATTCAGGATTGCTAACTCTACCACCCTCACATGTGGTCTTACTCCAATACAGGAGTGCAGAGGAGGCACCAGGAATGTAAGGCACTCTAGCCAAGCCAGTTTTTTAAATCTCTGGGGGTGGTAGCCTTCTGAAAAGCCTATATATGGATCTTGCTGTGCTTCCTCTGTGGCCCAGTATGACTCTGGCTGGTCTACAAATTGAGAAGGACAAAAATCAGCTTTGGAAAGTAGTTGGCTGGTTTGTTGGTAAAGGTCTAGTCACTACTAACAAGGGAAATGCCCACCTCCTCTATCTATCCGACCAGTGATTTATCTTTTATGTGAAATTATTTGAGTTCTAAAAACAAAGACACTGAGAACCTTAACTAACCTTCTAAAAAGCTTCAAATGCTGAGAACTTTCTCTAAAGAGGGAATAACATAAACCATAATAGAGAATTCGTCAGTTTTATTTTTAAAAAAATTGCTGACTTCCTGGAAAACGTAACCTCCAAGCTGTGTTAGAGGTGTAGCATGAGTCCAGCAGTAGCACACTGGCCCAACCATCATAGTAATGGCTCTTAGCAATGCTTGGGAACTCAAGAGCAAGGACACAATGGGTTTGAGGACTTTATACACCAAGAAATGAAAATAAATCCTCCACAAAGGAGGAAGGAATAAGGAATTAAGTTTATTCTGTATCAGTCAGTATTCTGCTGATATGAACCACTAAATTTCTGATACAATAACAACTTTAATTAACAAGAGTAACAGGGGGCTAGGGAGTTGGCTCAGTGGAATAAGCGCCATCTGGCAAGTGCAAGGGTTTGAGTTCAATCCCCGGTTCCGCAAAAAAAAGAGTAACAAAGTTGTTTTGCTGTTTTATCACTTTCTGAGGAGAAGGGGCTCTGCATCTTTCAAAGAGAAAAAAAGACAAATGCGGCCACTGCTCCCTTGGGCAGTCACACAGAATCTTTAAGGAGCTGGCTTTCTGAGCCATGGAGGTTAACATTTCCTCTGATACTTCAGATAGCGTCAAGCTGACTGGTACTTAAAGGAGAGAAGAGGGTGGGAAAGAAGAGAGATTGCACAAGAATGTCTCTCAACACATTCAACAATAAGACAAATTTGTTTGGAAAATGTAACAATCACTATTTTTAGAAAAAGTTTCAGCAGTATATTAAGCCATTTCTTATGTTAGATTTTAATAATATGTGAATGAAGGTCAATAAATACTAAAATTTTTTAAAAATCCAATGTAGTTATTTCACAGAGAAACTGTATATAAGCTTTAATCTTTTAATAGTAGCATTACGTGCACATCATTGCAAATGTAGGAAGCTGGGCTATCATCAAAGTAATGTTTTGCTTTAAAGTAACAATAACTGACAGATGATAAATATGGCACAATGTTAGAAAAAAACTGGACCAGCTGTTGAAAACAGGCTACTAAGTTAAGATATGAATATTTCATTCTCCTCTGACATGCATGTCTTTCTGAAATCATGGTTGGAAATAGTGCATGTAGATAGTTGATTTGATAATACTTACAAGCAGAAAAATATCACAAAAAGTTTCTTCTCTCATCATGGGCACTTGTTCCAAAACGCCTCTCTTTTTTTTTCTCAAGCTCACCTCAATAGACTCTGGGGTCATTTACCATATTCTAACCACTTCACAAAGGTTGTTGATACATTTAATAAAAATTAACCCTTTGTAGTTCATTTTTAGAATTATGCCCATCCTTAAAAGAAAAACACAAACTTAAGTAGAGAGTAATTTAAACAAATACATTTCTGTCAAGTTCATGCCCAACGCACTCATTTCGTTGAAATTACTAATCAAAGTAACAGTTCACCTTGTAGCCAGGTTCCCGAGGACTTTTCATTTCATCATGAGCCAAACCATGTTTTCTGAATGTACTGGGGGAAATGTCTATCCTCCTAAAATGGAAAACAAACATAGTATACTAATGCATGGTGTGAATGCAGTACTGATAATACACTACTTACTAAGCTGAGGAACAGATTTGTATTAGGATTTGTATTTTGTTTCATTTCATGACTTACTCATAGCACCCATCCTTGGTGCTAGGGACTGAACCCAGGAATTTGTACATGCTAAGAGGCAATTCACCACTGAGCGACATCCCAGCCCCACTAACATTTTTTTTTTTTTTTTTTGCAGTCCCAGGGATCAAACACAACTTGAAACAGTAGTTTTCATCTTGAGAATCTGAGTAGACAAACTCATTACTCCTCTATCTGGATCCAGATGAAAATCAACTACCTGTACAGTTCAAGAGATTTTTTTTTTTTTGTGGAACCGGGGATTGAACTCAGGCCCTTGCGCTTGCCAGGGAAACACTTATTCCACTGAGCCATCTCCCCCACCCAAGAGATCTTAAATCCAAGGCTGTCATACAAATGTCATCCAGCCCTTCTGCCTACTAAGTCAAATACTATATTATGGGTAGGGCCAATTTAGAACTAGAGACAGTTTCCAAAGTCTCTATCAGCTGAACAGACTCCCAGAATCATGTGAGATAGTCTATAAATAAGTGGTGTTTTCAAACCCTTAAGGATAATCCTGGGGCTGGGGAGATGGCTCAGTAGAATAACTGCTTCCCTGGCAAGCTCAAGGGCCTGAGTTCAATCCCCAGTTCCACAAAACAAAAAACAAACAAACAAAAAAACACCTCTCAGAATTGGTGCCTTTTTGGGCCAGGGAGATGACTCAGTGGAATGGGCGCTTCCCTGGCAAACGCAGGGGCCTGAGTTCAATCCCTGGTTCCGC